CAGAAGTGTGAACAGACGTTTTAAAACTACAGATTCTAAAACCCAGCGAGGCGGACACGGGCAGCCCTCACTGCTGTAGCAGGTATGAGCCTCCAGCTCAAGAGCAGCGTCTGGAAGCCCCGTTAGTTGTTAGTGGGGAACTGGGAGGTGGGGGAGGGGATGAGGCCAACCCAGGGACTATCCCATCAAAGCCCAGGTAAGTTAAATCAGAACTGAAGGAATTATCTGAATGAAGCTCCCAATACGGGGGGGTTCTCCTCCTGAGGCAGAAGAAATGTGGTTATTTCCCAAGTACTCTAAGTATCAGTGAGCTTCCCTCATTCTTGGCTGGAATTCAGACTCGAACCCAAGATCAGGTAGGGTTCTTTGAGCACACACAACAGAAACAAACATTGGACAAATTAAGCAGAAATGGGTAATCAAAGGAAATTGGAGCCCTTGTAGACTCAAGGTGAAAGTCGAAAGTCTAGGCAGGGAAAGGGCACACAGCTCTGACATGCACAGGACGCCAGAGCACGTTTCCATCCTTGTGTCACTCCTGGACAAATGTACAGTGCGCCTAACCTGGGTTGCACATCTGCACTGGTCCCAGCGAAGTCTGGGCAGGCACCTTGACTTTCAGCCCCACCAAGACGAAACACCACAGAGAGCAGAATTTCTCCAAAAGGTATAGAGTCTTTTGCCCAGAAATAGGGGATAGAAGCTGAGTGTTCAAAAGAAATAACAAATACCTACTAATAGTAGTGGGTATTTAACTGGCTGAGAGTGTTTACTTAGCTCTAAGTTTCAAAATTTAGATCTCCAAAGACCTTATTTCCATCTTCATGTGGAAGTGCAGGCACCCCGGTATTACTGAGCACAGCCATTGCCCAGGGTCAAAACCTCAGCCTCCAGGACCCCAGAAGACACCCTGATTATATCAGTCAGACCTCAGGGGGCAAAAGTTGACTTACAGTGGCTACCGACACTGAGGTTCCTCACCCACTCCAGTAACAAATTTTAAGAGGAGGTGGCTCTAGCATAGGCCCACGGCTCAGCAGTGCCATCGAGCACCCAGGACTGTTCTGTCCACACTGCCACCCTCAGCAAATGGGCCTCGGTAGTCATTGCTCATCCCTCAAGTTGCAAAGTGAATGCCTCAGTGTCATGAGTTGAATTGTTTACACTTCAAAATCCACATGTTGAAGTCCTACTGCCGAGCACCTCAGAATGTGATCTTCTTTGGAATGGTGTCAGGGCAGGTGTAATTTGTTCAGATGAGGTCATTGGGGTGAGCTCTAATCCAATAGGACTTGTGTCCTTAAAGAAAGGGGGAATTTGGACACAGACAAGCATGGAGGAAGACCACAGGGAGAAGATGGTGCATCTGCAAGTCGAGGAGCAGGGCCTGGAGCAGACCCTCCCCTCACAGCCACAGAAGGCACCCACCCTGCTGGAGCCCCGATTTGAGACGTCCAGCCTCCAGAACTGTGAGAGCAAGTTCCTGCTGTTTAGCCACCCGGGGTGTGGAGCTTTGTTACAGCAGCCCATGCCAGTGAATACCTTCCACTCGGTCCCCGTGTCCCCATCGGAGCAGGAAGAGCGGCACCAACAGAGTGGAGACAGCAGAGATCAAGATCGTTCCTCTGATCAGAAAGGCATGAATTTCCCCAGACATCCGGGTACTTCCGTCCCCATGCCGGACTGTGTGCCGCCAGCCACAGAGCCCAGCCACACTGCTGCAGGGAGTCTGAGAACAGAACGGGGTGCTTGGCACCCACGGCTTCGAGAGCAAGTGGGTGAAGGAGGGGGTAGGAAGGAGTGACGCTGGCCGGCAGCAGGGCCTGGGGCAGCCACTCCCCTCTTCCTGCAGCCTCCTAAGCGTGCACTGAGCTTTCTGGGGAGCAGGCAGCCCTGACTTTCAAGGCGGGGCTGAGGAGTCTATGATGGAGGCTTTCCCTGAGCGGTCAGTGGCTCCTTGACACCTCAGTTTGCTAGAACTCAGGGTCCTTTTCTACATCCAGCAGCTTCTGCTCATTTCTTTCATTTATGAGAGCAAGTTGGCCTGCCAACAGATCAGCATGGGAAATTCCCTGGGGTGCTCTGGTCAAGAGACAGCAAGCAGCAAACCCCAGGGAAGGCCAGCCTCCAGGATGAGACACAGGCTGCTGGCTTAGCAGCCCAGGCCTGTGAGGACGCCTCCTGTACATCCCACACACAGACAAGGATGGGGCCAGGACCCTTGCCACGAAGGCCCTGCTTCCCCGACTGGAGCACCGTCCCCTAGAGCCCTGCCTGTGGTACTGCTCTGCCAGGAGGGGACAGCACAGCCTGGCCAGTGCCTGCTGCTGATGGGGACTGGCCACCGTGGGACAGGGCTCCACCTGCCAGCTGCACACTCACAGAGCCCTGCCAGGTGACTGCTGTCCCAAACGCCCACCACCTGGGCCCACTCTAGGTCTAAACTTGCTCTTTTGTCTAACTTTTATGTACTCATTTACTTATCCCCTGCTTCAGGCCTGTTTGTGGCATTGGAGGTAGGTCCCACCTCAGACAGTAACAAAAAGGGAATTAATGTACCACCTCAAACCCATTCGGATGGCAGCTACCAGAAGCAGAAAACAGTAAGTGCCGTCAAGGATGTGGAGAAGTTGGAACCCTTGTGCCCCGCTGGCGGGGATGCAAAATGGTGCGGCTGCTGTGGAAAGAGCCTGACGGTGTCTTCATAAATTAAAGTAGAATTGCAATTCCACCTCCGGTTTTGAGCCCAAAGAATTAAAAACAGGATCTAGAACAGATATTTGGATGCCAATGTTTAGAGCAGCACTATTCACGATAGCCAATAACGGAAGCAACCTAAGTGTCCACTGGCAAGAGTGGGTAAACAAGACGTGGTACTTACATACAATGAAATACTACTCAGCCTTAAAAAGGAAAGAAGTTCTGACACAGGCCACAGCACGGATGAGCCTTGAGGACGTTATGCAAAGTGAAATAAGCCAGTCACAAAAACACAAGGACTGTATGATTTCACTCATGGAGGTACCTAGGGTAGTCACATTCATAGAGCCGCGGGGCTGATGGGGAGAGAGAACAGGGAATTCCTGTTTAACGGGGATGGAATTTAGTTTTGCAAGATAAAAACGTCCCAGAGATGGGAGTGGTGATGTTTGCACAACAAAAGGAATGTGCTCAGCACTACAGAACCATACACTTAGAAATGGTTAAGGTGGTAAATTTATGCTGTCCTATTTCACCACGATTTAAAACTAAAGAAGAGCCCTGGCTCTGCTGGCTGGAGCACTGCCCCATGCACCGATACGCTGTGGGTTCGACTCCCAGTCAGGGTACGTGCCCAGGATGTGGGCTCGATCCCTGGGTGGGGTGAGTGTGGAGGCCACCAATCAATGTCTCTCTCTCTCTCTCTCTCTCTCTCCCCCTTCCTCTCTCTAAAATTAAAAAGAAGAAGAGAGGAGCAGGAGGAGGAATGGCAAGAAGAAAGAAGAGAAAGTAGTGAAGGGGCAGAGTCAGGGGGATCCGGGACCTGGAGTCCCTCAGGAGGAGCGGAGCCCCAGGAGGAAGGGCGGGCAGGCTCCCCCCCCTCCTACTGGCACCTCCCCGGGCCCACAGCCCAGGGCAAGGCGGAGAGGGAGGGGCCAGGAGGCGTTGGCTCCGGAGGACTGTGCCCTCCTGGTGGGACGCGGTCAGTCAGCGAACGCGCAGCTTAATGGCGCCTGGTCCTCAGTCTAGTGATGGAACAGGCAACATAGAAGTACATTTAATTTTAGAGTGTGCTCCGTCCAACAAAGAAAATAAACTGTGAGAGAGGGGAAGGGGTGCCCGCGGGTGCAGAGAAGCTCTCTGCAGAATGGCACACCCGGCCTGTAAGCACCAGGCAAGCCCGGGCTCTCCCGGGGACCAGGACCAGTGGGCTGCGCGCCCAGGCGGCCCGGTGATGGGGCGCCTTCTGGGAAACGTGTCCTTGGGCAGCTTTGTCACTGTGCACAATCGCAGCGTGCGCTTACACACACCTGGAGGGCACACACCTAGGCTCCGCGCACAGCCTCTTGCTCCTGGCTGCAGGCCCCACGGCACGTTACTGTACAAGCCAACAGAGGGAACGGTGCGGTCAGGAGACGCGGCGACGGAGCTCTGGTGGCAGCGGCCAGTGGAACCGCTACTGCCTCACAGCACACATTTTTATATGTAGAAAGAGGGCACTCTAAAATAATGATGAAAGCACAGTATGGTAATGCATAAACGGGTAACACAGTCATGTATTGTCATCATCAAGCGTCGTGTACTGAGCGTAAGTGTACATGCTGCACTTTTACGCGACTGGCAGCGCAGTGGGTCCGTTTACACTGGCACCACCCCAGACACCTGAGGAACGCGCTGTGTGCAGCACTGTGACAGCTGCGACGTCACCGATAGGAAGTTTTCGGCTCCGTTACAGTCTTGTGGGACTACCATCATATGTGCAGTCAGTCATCGGCCAAAATGTCCTTAGAGAGAGATTTATTTTAAGGAACTGGCTCATGCGCTTGTGGGGGCTGGCGCCCGACATCCGCAGGCCAGCGGGCTGCACCCAAGGAGCTGGTGCTGCAGCTCGGGTCCAAGGACGAGGAGAATTCTCTCTCCCTCGGGGGTTCTCAAGCGTTGGGATGTGACCTACCCACATTACGGAGGGTAGTCTGCTTTACTCAAAGTCTATTGATCTTAATGTTAATTACACTTAAAGAAAATACCTTCAAAACAAAGCCTAGACTGGTATGAGGCCAAAACCAGGGCCCCGGGGCCCTGCCAGGCTGACACGTGAGACAATCGAAAGCACTGTTGCCATCAGGCCCGGGGCAGTCCCTGCATGGAGCCCTAAGGTGGACACCCCTTCACACCCTCCTCTTCTTCCTTCTGCAGAGAAAACTTCCCGCTCGGTGCCGGCATCTGATCGACCGGAAGCTCTCCTTTTGTGGGGAGAAGGCTACACCTAAGGCTGCCGGGACCAGCTTCCCAGCGGGGCGATGCAGGGGAACAAGAAGGGCGCCGATGGGTTCAGCGACACCTCGAGCATCGGCAGTGTGCTGGACGAAGCAGACAGGGAGGTGAGCAGCCTCACGGACCGGGCGTTCCGGAGTTTGTGCGTCTCAGAGGACACATCCTTCAGTGACTCCGACCTGGCCCTGTCCCCAGATACCACCCGCCAGGTGTTTGGGAATTTTCGCCAGGGAACCGTGAGCCACACCCAAAGGAAGAGCGGCATTTGGAGCCAGCTGCCGTCGCAGGGCACGGAGCACGCAGGCTGGGCAGCCACGTTCCAGCAGCTGCCCAAATATGTGCAGGGAGAGGAAGAGTATCCCCAAAGCAGCCCCCCACTGACGCCAGCCCAGAGGAGGCTGGAGGTGCCAGTTTCTGGCCTGAGGAGCAGCAGCAAGCCTATTTCCAAAGTGTCCTCACTAATTAAATCTTTCGACAGGACAGAGGGCCAGCAGGGCGGTAGCCGGGCCCCTCCCAGCAAGCCTCCAGCCATCAAGAACCCCCCCAAGTTTGCGCCTCTTCCGGAAAGCAGTGTCAACTTCTGCTTCGATTCTGCCTTTCTGACTGTCAGGAGGGTGCCCGCGGAAGTCTCCAGCGCCCATCAGAACAGCCACCAGCCTGATCGGAAGCATGCGGAGCAGGAGTCCCCCGAGAGTCCTGAAATGGCCTGCCAGGGCTCCAGTCGCTTCCTCCCAACACCTGAAAACGGGGCCAGCTCGCTGGAGTGCAAGTTCTCCTCTCCACCCCGCAAACCAGCCGCGGGAGAGCCTGGAAGCAGCAGGGAGTGGGCTCGAAAAGGCACCTTCCTTCACAGTGAAAACAGTGCTTTCGAGTCGTGGAGTGCCCACCACCCAAAGCTGCTAGAGAGAAAGGACCCTTCTGAGGCTGCCCCTGAGAACAAATCCCCCAAACATTATGAGGACAAGCCCTTGTTGAGAGAGCCCCAGGCCCCTGAGTGCAAGGTCTCTCCCTGCCAACCCCGGGCTAGCTGTGGTCAAGAAGAGAACAGGCTGACAGCAGGCACTCTCTACACATCTGGGCCCAGGAGGCCTAGGGACCCAGGAGCTCAGGTGTTCTCCACGGAGGAAAAAGCTTCCAGCCCACAGCCTGACCTCCAGGTGAAGTCAACCCAGCCCCCATGGAGGAAACCAAAGGCTCGCAAAGGAGGCAAAGAAAGCACACAAGATGGCACAGAAGAGGGGCAGACCAGCAGGCGAGGCTCAGCCTTATACACAAAGCACGCTCCTCAGGGGAGATTTCCAGAAAACGATGCTCTTGACAATGCCCTGGACCCCAACGACTGCTACAACCCTCCTTTTAACATCAGAGAGCTTCTGACCCCCATCATACCCACCAAGCACGTCCTGGATCCACCCAAAAGCCCGCCAATGGAGGTAACCCCATCCCCTCCAGCGCAGCTAAATGGATACCAAGAACAGGAGCCCAGCGAGTGTCCATCTCGGGACAGCTACAAAGCCAAAGCCCCCAGCCTGCTGTTCAACCTCAAGGATGTGCGGAAGCGCGTCAAGAGCACATACACCCCCTCGCCTCTCTTAAAAGGCCTCGACGAGAAAAGCAGGGGCAAGCAAGAACCCGTGAGCAATGGTGCCCTTCCCAATGGGCTGGAGGAAAGCCCCCCCGAAGAGCTTTCTAAGGAGAGACCAGCTAACACTCCTTCTCTGTCACTCATCAGTACCCAGAGGGACCCTAAAGCTGATCCTGGTGCAACCTCTGTGGACGACTATCTGACCCTTAGCTTGCCTCCAGCTGTCACCAAAGCCCCTTTCTGTGTCAATGGGGAGGCTGGCAACAAGAGCAGCTATGAGAAGGATGCCACCGAAGATTCTGATCTGGGTGCCACCAGGCACAGCTGGTCTCCGGACTCCAGGGAGCACTGCCCCAGGAAGCACCTGGCCCTGAAGCTCTGCAGCAGAGAGCCCGAGGTGGGGGGGGCTGCGGAGCCACCAAGGACCCCCAGCCTCGAGAATGGGGTCTCGCGATCTATTTCTCAAGAGACAGAACCCGAGAGAGAGGCAGGACTTCAGAACCCAAACTTCAACCCCAAAGTCTCTCCAGGGCCCCTTTCTCCCGAGGAGGAAGATGTGTTTTATAGCGACAGCCAGTCTGATTTTGTGCCAGACCTCAAAAGCAAGGCCAAGTTCAGCACCAGCTCTTCAGACCAGTCCTTTGCCTCGTTCGAGGACCAGCAGAAGACGTGGTTTGCGGAGAGCCAGCGGGAAGACGGGAGGAGTGACATGAGCCAGCAGGAAGATAGGAGGAGTGACGTGAGCCAGCAGGAAGACAGGAGGAGTGATGTCAGCCAGTGGGAACACAGGAGGAGTGACGTGAGCCAGCAGGAAGACAGGAGGAGTGACATCAGCCAGTGGGAACACAGGAGGAGTGACGTGAGCCAGCGGGAAGACAGGAGGAGTGACGTCAGCCAGTGGGAAGACAGGAGGAGTGACATCAGCCAACAGGAAGACAGGAGGAGTGACGTGAGCCAGTGGGAACACAGGAGGAGTGACGTCAGCCAGCAGGAAGACAGGAGGAGTGACGTCAGCCAGTGGGAAGACAGGAGGAGTGACATCAGCCAACGGGAAGACAGGAGGAGTGATGTGAGCCAGTGGGAACACAGGAGGAGTGACGTGAGTGCAGGTGACGGTCGGAAGGACGGTGAGGGGAAAGCGATGGCGGAGGACGGGCCTCCGCAGTGTGCCTTGGGGAGCGGGCCCACGTGCGTGGAGGAGCGGGCCAGGAGGGGAACGTGGCAAGCAGAGGGGGAAAGTGCGTGTGGAGAGAGAGCCAGGAGGGCGTCGAGGGAAGAAGCTGACTTCAGAGGCACTTGGATCGGGAGCAGTAAGGACACGGCCCTTCCACAGGCCAAAGGCCTTACACCCCCACCGTCTTCCACTCTGAACAGGCACAGACTGTTTGCCATCAAAGACAACACCCTCAGGGCCACCCCCGTGATCAAGCCGGTCATGCTGCCCCTGCTGAGGGCCTTGTCCTCAGAGGACGCGCTGGGCGGTGGCCACAAAGCAGAGGAATTGCCACGGACAGGCTGGGGCGAGGAAGTTGCTCTTTGTGCTCCCAAGAGCCAGGAAATGCCCGGTACCCCAACACCCACTGGCATGAGGGGCCCACCCTTAAAGCATGTGGCCCACAAGGGCATGGAGGACCACGGGTGGGTGTCCGGTGTGGCCAGGATGGAGACAAAGGGGACTGTCTCATCTATTCCTCTCCTGGGAGAGGGCGGAGGGCTGAAGCCACCCCCAGAGGCTGTGTGGAAGGTCGTGGCCAGTGACTGCAGGAGCCATCCCACAGACCAGGGGAGGCCGGAGGCTCCACGGGGCATCCCCGTGATTGCTTTGCCCGAAAGTGACATACAAGGCCAGCCACCCCCACAGCAGCTTGCAACCTCGTGGGAAGAGCAGACCCAAGATTTCAACAGTCGCTTTTTGTCTACACCCAGGGCAGGGCCCCCAGGGAGAAGACTGGCTGCTGGTGAGACCGCAGCTTCCCCCAACAGCAGCTCCCTGGAGGGAAGCAGTGCGCACTCCCCCGCAGCCAGCAGCGCTTGGGACGATGCTTCTCAGGGCCCCAGTGACCTGGGCCTGATGTCCGGGGAGCCTTCCTGCGCCAGCCCCCGGGCCAACCCCAGCCCCAGCAGGGTGGCCCGGAGGGAGGACCTGACGCACGCCTTCTCATGGGAAGCCAGTGCCGACCCCCAACTTGAGCCATCAGCAGAAGACCGCAGGACACTCTCTCCAGGGGATTTGTTGCTCGATGTAGCCACCAGCTCAGCAGTCTTCCCAGAAAAAGCGGAGCCTTCCTCTCACCTAGAAAGGGCTGCTGCCAAGCCACCTGCAGTCCCACCCAAAACAGAAAAGGCCCTGCGGCGGGCAAAGAAGCTAGCGAGCAAGAGGAGAAAGATTGACCAGGCACAGGAAGTGCAGGGCAGAGCCCAGGAGGAGAAGCCGCCCCTGGGAGAAGCAGGGCACAAGCCCTCGTCCGCTGGGGAGAGGCTGCTGCCCAGGCTCCCGGCTGTCCGTGCCCTGCCCCCTCCAGTGCATCGCCACTCGGTGGCCACCTTCTCAGACCCGGTCAGGAGGTGGCCTGGGGGGCCCCAGGCCCTCATGCCCCTGCTCCCTTACCCTGCCACCCAGAAGGTCCTGCAAGACCCCCAATCTGGAGAGTACTTTGTCTTCGATCTGCCGCTTCAGGTGAAAATCAAGACCTTCTATGACCCAGAGACAGGCAAATATGTCAAGGTCCCCATCCCATCTTCTGAGGAGGGTTCCCCTGAACCACTCCCGCCCAACATGCTTGCTGCCCCCTACATGCTGTACCCGGGCATCCGGCCCCTGCCTGCAACGGCCTTGATGCCACTGCGCTGCTCCTCTCAGCTCTCTAACCCCACCTTCCTAAGGCAGGACCCTGGTGCCACTGAGGCAACCCAACCTGGTCCCCAGAGCACCTACGATGCTGACCTGCAACCAGCCCTTGGGCCTCCTGGTGACCCCACCCAGCACACTGCAGGCCCAGGCTCCAGCGAGCCCCCCCGGATCCCAGGGGAGGGTGTGGGAGACACTCCAAGCCTGGGCATCATCTCCACCAATGATCTAGAGGACTTTGCCACAGAAGACATTTCTTGAGAATTACAGCAGACTAACCCCCCCCAATAAACCCAGAAGAGTTTACTTCCCCCCCCAGAACACATACACACACACACACACACACACACACACACTCACCACATACTTAGCCATTTGAGATCCTTAAAGTCTCAAAGGAATTGTGGATTCTGAAAACACCCCACCTCCAGGTCAAACTCAGGCTTCCCTCCCTGGGAGGACACTGCTTGAATGGCCTGGTCCCTTCCGAGCCCCTCTTGGACCCCAGACCTGCTGACTTCTTTTCTCTCCCCTTCCTTCCCCCCCTGTTCTCCTCTGGCCCTGCCACTCAGGGGATCCACCTGACTCCTCCGTGCTGTTCCCTCCAGCACCGACCCTCCCCTTCCCAAGGGCAGGAGAGGCCCCTGGAGCACTGTGCTGAACCCTGCAGGCCAGCAGACCACCTCACACCCCCCTCTAGGTCAGACAGGGCACCAAGGGTGACCACCCTGCCACTCAGAGACAAAGCCGTTACCAGCCCAGCTCAGTGGGAGCAGCTGAGGACCGACACAGGCAATCTTGCAGAAATGTTTATTTGAATAGAATGGGTTTTCTTTACTGGGGAAACTTTCCTTCCTCGGAAAGCTGTTTTCTGATAAAGGAAAAGCTACCTTTTAAAAAGCGAAACAAGTTTACGGGTGTAGTTCTGTCTCTGAGCTCCTGTCTCTTCTGTGGACAGTGGAGGGGCTCAGCTGGTGAGTAGAGAGAGGGCCATGTGCCCTCCAGGCCTCCCATCGCGGCCCACAGGCCACACAGGGTTTTCACGTGGGCCCAGAGCAGCAGCCTCAGCATCCTCGCGTCCCCACGTCCCAGTGTCCCGCCTCCGCCCTTCCACACCTTCCCGTGCCTTCTTGGGGCACCTCCACTGTTGCTGGGCAGCAAAAATGAGGAGGCCTGGCCACAGAGTCAGGCCCTGGTTGTCCCGATGCCATGACCAGTAGCTGTGCTCTGTGCTCAAAGGGAGATGGGATTTGGGGATTTGGAGGAAAGCATGTGAATCGACTCGGGAGAGCAGAGAGCAGTGGCCACCCTGCGCCCCTGAGCAGGGCGAGCCTGTGAGGAGACGCCTGCCCTCTGCCCTCTGTGAGCACCCAGGGAGGGCACCAGGCCAGTCCTCGGGCTGCTGCTGGGGCTTCCACCGAAGCCCCTTCATTCCTGCAGCATGGGCAAGGGGAAAGTCCCCCCTCCTCACTCAGGAGGGCAGCTGTGGAGGGGCCACACAGAGTGCCTCGTCCTTGGGCTTTGTTTTTGGTTTTGGAGGGGGAGGTTTTGCAGCGCTTCCAGGCTGGGAGGGTGGGGAGGCGCCCAGCGCAGGGAGTCCCGGACTCTCACCAGCACAGGGCTTGAGCAATTCCAGGTTTGCGATCTGGAGCCAGGATTTTACACCTGCTGCTTTTCCCAGCAAGTGTGGCCGCGCCTTCGCTTCACTGTGAAATACCACACAACCCCAGCCCGCTGCCTGCGCTGGGTGGGGGGCCAGGAGGGCACGTAGGCCGTTCGTGAACCCTGGTTCCCACAAGTCACACGTCAGGGTGCAAATGAAGGGGACAGGGCTGTCGTCCTGGCCCCGCCACCAAATCGCCGAGCGCCCTCTCCACCCGTCTCCTTCTTACTCAAGCAGGAAAAGTAACGTCCCATTTCCTCAAGGCCCAAGAAGAGAATTGCCTGACAGAAGAAGGATCCCTCAGTTTAAAATAACCACAGTTACAGTAACCGTGTCCCCACGAGGAAAAATATACTTTACATAAGGGGAGCTTATGTTTGGGAAGCAGTCGCCCTCTGTCTCAACAGGAGCATGAGCAAGGCTGCTGACAGAGCAGAAAACAAAGGGAGACATTTGGGGATCAAGGTCAACTTCCTCTTCGTCCCTGTGGATGCCAAAGGGGAACAAGGCGTCTGGCGGAACGCAGCATCCGTTCACGCCGGAGAGCGGGGACACCCGGCTGCCCGGCCTCTGTTCACGCCGGAGAGCGGGGACACCCGGCTGCCCGGCCTCTGTTCACGCCGGAGAGGGGGGACACCCGGCTGCCCGGCCTCTGTTCACGCCGGAGAGGGGGGACACCCGGCTGCCTGGCCTCTGTTCACGCCGGAGAGGGGGGACACCCGGCTGCCTGGCCTCTGTTCACGCCGGAGAGGGGGGACACCCGGCTGCCCAGCAAGTCAGCTAGAAGGACGGCCTCTGTCACTCACAGCAAAGTGTTGTGTTCCTATGTTCCTAAGAAGCAGGTAACTTTGCCTCCAGGGAACAAAAGTTAGTGGACACCAACTCATTTGCAAATGGTGCTCTCCTCTTTCTGTGTGTGGGGGGGTCCGTTTAGGCCTCCTTCCTTCCTCCCTCTCTCCCTCTCTCCGTTTACACCCTCTCCCCCTCCCTCCTTTAACAAACATTTTCAGAGTTCTGCTCTGTGTCAGGCACTTCACTGGGCATTGAAGATGTCCCATGATAATATGATCTGGCCTCTGTACCCAGGGAATTAACCTCCAACAGGGAAGAAAGACCATCACAGTCCCATGTGGTACATCATTTAATAGGGTGGTCTGAGAAGCACCTAACAGTCTGGAAGGAAAGGGGCTTTCTACAGGAGACAGCACCAAAGCTGAGTCAGGAAGCACAAAGCAGTGGATCAACTTTTGACGAAACCAGAATTTCCCAGCATTAATCTCTGTATCAAAACACAGTGACATTTGTTAAATACTAATAGATTGTCTTACCACATCAAAGTGTACTCGTTTAGCTAATTGTTCCTTAGCCTTTCTGATCACACAAAAATGGAACCAGTGCAGCCTCCCAGGGTAGACCTTTGTTGATATGTCCTTTAGCTTCTGAATTAATCTTTTACTGATCTGAGTTGCCCAGAAAAATCACTATTTCTACCATTGTGTTTAATAGGATAGCAATGAGAACTGTGAAAACATGGTTTGTGGAAACTGTAGGTCAAGGCCCTGCTAGCATCTTCTGTTTAGTGTAGTGGCCCTTTACTATGTTATGGCCCCTTCAGTATCTCCTGGAGAGAAGACATAAATACAGAGCACGTCCAGGGGACAATCAAAGGTACTGGGGCTGTTCAGCAGGTAATAACCAAGAGCTCACCCCTGACTCCCACCTCTCATTGCCATCCTTCCCAAACTCACAGGCAATCGCTCCTTGCTGTCTTTTGAGCTGTCCCATCCCCTTCGCAATGATGTCTTTAGGATAAAATTGTTGGTATCTTCTATGTCAGGGCACATGCCTGGGTTGCAGGCAAGATTTCCAGTAGGGGACGTGCAGAAGGCAGCAGATTGATGTTTCTATCTCACATAGATAGATGTTCCTCTCTCTCTCCCTCTCCCTTCCTCTCTCTCTAAAAATCAATGTTAAAATATCTTTTAAAAAACAGAATTAATCAAATTCAAGTGGCCTACTAGCAAAGACTCCCAGCCAACATCGCCATAAGTGGAGCCCCTTTCTCTGCCCTTCCTTGCACTGGTAGCTGTCCTGTACCTGTGTTAGGAGCATATCCGAGGGCCCTCGATCTGACCAGGTGACCCACTGGACGGCGCAATATGACTTCACTGGGCCTCCGCACCTCCTGATCCACACATGTTCACTTCAGCTCCGCTGCCAAGCTTGCTCTTCAGCATCACTCGTCATTAGAGAGACACAAGTCAAACCCACAATGAGGTATCACCTCACAGCCATTAGGGTGGCTACTATTACAAAAACAGAAAAGGGTTGGCAAGGATGCGGAGGAATTGGAATCCTCTCACTCTGCTGGTGGGCATGTAAAATGGTATGGCTGCTGTAAAAAATGTATGGCAGTTACTCAAAAAGTTAAACAGAATTACCATACGATCCAGAAATTCCACTCCTAGGTAGACACACAAAAGAACTGAAAGCAGGAGCTCAGACAGGTATTTGTACACCGTGTTCATAGCAGCATAATTCACAACAGGCAAAAGGTGGAAGCAACTCAGTTGTCAGTCAGCAGAGGAGTGAAGACACAAAATGTGGTCTGTGCTGACAATGGAATATTTTTTAGCCTTAAAAAGGAAGGAAAGTCTGACACAGGTACAACGTGGATGGTCCTTGAGGACATTATGCTGAGTGCAATAAGTGAGTTACAAAAGGACGAATACTGTAGGACCCACTCTTGTGAGGTGCCCGAGCAGCCAGCTCGTAGAGAAAGGAAATAGAACGGTGGCTGACAGAGGCTGGGGGGG